ACGTTTCTCAATCATCGCCAACAATAGCAAATTTGCTCTTAGCAAATGTGTCACGTATGAAATTCTTTATTTAGAATTTTCTTCTTATTCTTTCACTTACAGTTGTATCATTAACGCAAGAGCAATATGAGCGTGCTCATTTTTATCGTTTTCCTAAATTATTCAAATTGAAAATGAATCTTGACCATACTCAAGTGAAATCAAATGATGATCATCAAACAAGTTTATGTAATTCATTTCTGTTATGTTTCTATGACAATCTTTATAGGAAATTAAAGAAACGCTTAAACGTGGGTACATCTATTCTTGATTTCAATTTAACACGTCTTCGTCAATGTATTGATAAAGTCGTTGAACAACGTGGTCAGCGACAAACAATGCTTTCTATCGATGAATTACCTTTAGCATTGGAATTCTATTTACAAATTGATGGTAAGTTCATTCTTATTGATCTAGATAGATATAGTAAAACAAAAATATTGTCAATATTTAGTTGACATGTTCTTTCTCAAAACATGTTCATTCAATGGTGTACAATTACGGCAATTCGAAGATCGTATTCTTGAAGGTCTCTTCTGTTTGGATAAACCAGAAGCAAGATTTGTTATGAAACCTTGTAATAAATCATATTGTCATTGTTGTCATTCACCATGTCCACGTCGTAATTTGGTCAATACTAAACAAAGAAAAGCAATTCAATTTTCTACACCACATATTCATCGTTTTGTGAATCAATATGAAGCTATTTTGAATTGCCCAGCAGTATGTATAATTCATAGTTTAATGTGAACAATACTCTTTTATATATATGTAGACATGTGAAAGTAATAATTGTATCTATGTTTTAACATGTCCTTGTGGTCAAGTTGATTTTATTGGTTCAACTAAAGAACAATCATTTGCTGAAATAATGGCTCGTAAGTTTTATTTTTCTCTAGTTCGAATATATTTACATATATATATTCTTATTTAGTTCATCGAGAAGAAGGCAATCGTATCATACGAGAATGTCTCGTTGGTCAACGTAATATCAATCTTATTACAAATGGTTTCAAATCTGAAGAGTAATAATTCATTGATTAACTGAAAATATATTGAATTTTATTCATTACTAGACAAAAACTGTATGATAAACTGTGGCTCTATCAACATTCATCACGTTGTCCAGATGCTTTACAATTATTTTTGGATTACAATCCTGCTTATTGGTGTTTTGTACCAATGAAATC